AATTGCGGCCGTGCATTCATTACACACACACACACATCCTGCCTTTTATAGATAGAGATAATGCAAAATTGGATAATCATAATAATTTTGTTATCAGATTTGAACTTAGCAAATTCTGTAAGCAATTGTTTATAATGAGAAACCATGGAAATCAAAATATTACATTTGTTTTAAAGTTATATAGAACACTTTTCTTTTTTTTTTCTTTAAATCCCCAGTTAATATGTAGTATACTGGTTATTCATTAATTGATAAGATTTTAAAACTTTCTGCATAAATATTGTTTGAAATCCAAACATATGTTAAAAAGCCATATAACATTAAATATTACAAAAAACATAAAATAGATATATAATGATAATAAGAAACATTTAGACTTGGTGAAAAGTATGCCTTCTGAAGATCTAATGAATTAAAAATAATTTTCTAAGTTGAATTATAAATTCATTTTATTACACATATTGGAATGTTGCATTTACTTGTTGTTTTTGTCTCTTTCATATTTAGCACAGACAAATTAGATAACAGATGTACTTGACATTTTGGATTGATTACATAAACACAGACAAAAAAAAAAAAAAACTGTAACAGGTTATCAGTTTACTTTTAATAGAAACTTATCACATTCCAGAACTAAATTTTTACGTATATTTTATAACTCAATTTCAATACATCTTATGATGATTCTCTTATTTGATTATAGATGATTTAATTGTATATTTTATTTAGAATGGTTGGGCTAAATTTGAAATAAGTGAATCATATATAGAATAAAATTAAGTTTTGTGATAAAATAATTTTCTGGATACATGATTTCTTTTAAATATTACATCTCTTCTTACAATGTACTAAATATGCAAATGATTTTGTTTAAAATGTTAATCAAATGATCAAATTTTTTTTTTAATTTATCATCTCAATAGCAAATATAGGATACAACATGCCCAAGTAAATCTGTAAGATATGCCATGAAAACTGAATTATACATACAATACACTTTTATTTATTTGTATGAAGCTTTTATAAGGTTCAGATTAGACCAAAAATAAAACAGATTTTAAGCATGAAGTAAGACTCAGATTTTTTTTTTTTTTTACAAAAGTTATGAAAAATAATTGAATATTCTCTCATAAGGGCTATAAAAAAAAGTTTAAAATTTGAGAATTTGCTAAGCAAAGCATGGCTTGCTAAATTACCTGATAATGTTAATTAAAAAAAAAAAAAAAAAAAAAAGAAAAAAGATAGTACAATTCTATCAGTAAAGCTTGATTTAATTGCTGACAATGATTTTTTTCATCATCTTCAGTTTATAGCCTACAAATTGAGTACTGAAATATTCATCATTTTAGATTTAAAAATAAAAATAGAAAAGGGGAATTTTGTGCTTAATAAATTTTTATTTTTCTACTTCCATAAATATTTCTCATGCAAAGAATAACAAAAATAATAATAATAATAAAAAAAAAAACACCCAAAACCTTGTGTATACACACAAGATTCAAAGGTCATTGACATTAGGGTTGTTATTCCCCAGCCATTCTGCTAACAGAATTTTTGTTGTCATTATGTAATCATCAGAATAAAATGTTTGGAGGTTTTTTAAAACATAAATCCTATACAAGATATCACTGATTACATAAATAGCTATAAGAAAATAAAATAAAAATCCAGGTTAAAAGATAAAACTCAAATCCTTGCTAAACTGACATAATTAATTTGTTTTTTGCAAGTTCGTGAGGTGAGATCACCATTGTCAATGGACTTGAAATGTTCTGACATAGCTTGAAAATGTATGTACTTGACAAATTGGCCAGTTAATACAATTGATAGTGACAGTAGCAGCTATTAAGTGCAGCTTAAAATACGTAATATGCTTTTCAAACAATAACACTAATTTCAAACCAAGGACAATAAATAACTTTCTTTGGTGGTTATCAAGTTTTTACACCTAATGATTTAAATACAAACACAATGAAAATTAAGACATTTTGTAGACCCCCCCACTTGGATAAAAATAAAAGCAAAATGAACATCTGCCAATTATGACATTGTAGGGAAAAAAAAATCAATCCAAAAGCAACATTTTTTTTTTTATATTCTAAATTCAACAATAAAATAAATATGCATTCACTTGTCCACTTTATTCAGCTATGAATTTGCTAACTTAATACTTATTGATTAAGGGGAGAAAAAAAAAGAAGCCTTTATTAATATTATGATATCCAAATTTTAATAATTGAGGATTGGTTAAACAAAATAAATTACTAAAGATATTGTTAGTAATTTTGAGATGAAACATTATCACTCCAAGAATGGTTTAGATGACTGAACTTTTCTTTTTGTAATTCTTTTTATTACAACAATGTTTTGGCTAATCCATTTTACATGTTTCTGCAGATGTACAAAGAAGAAATAAAAAACCTGGTATTACAGTCCCTATCCGAGAAAAGAAAGAAACTATTCTCTAATGAAGCTAAATAATAAATATGAGAAAACCAAAAGTATCTACAAACATTAGCTATTAGTCTTGCAAACAAATGCAAAGAGAAAGAAAGAACATCTCTGCATATAACAAAATAATACAAAGTTTGCATTACACAGATTGTTGATAATATAATAATAGATTAAAATATGTTGGAACAGATGATCCAACTGTGTGTGTGTGTGTGTATATATATATATATATATATATGGATGGACACATGCTCTTGTTGAGAAAGATAGACGAGTGAGGGATCAGTAAATTCTTAAGATTTTTCTGAACCTACACAAGTGAATTGTTTAAAATGGTCAATTTCCTGTGCTCTGCAATACACAAACTCTCCATCTTACCATATATAAATTTCAACATTTACTCTTGTTTATTAAACATTAAATCATATCATTTAGCCTGACATATATTTATAAGTGTTATTAAATTTTAAAATTCTGAAACCAAACATTTTTACTTCTGTGTATAAATACTTGCTGCAAAATAAAATCCTTACATTTGCCTTGATAAAGTTAATCAGAGGAAGAAATGCATTTGCTAAGTTTTCCTTTTGTGTTATATATATATATATATATATATATGGGAAAAACGTTATATAAATTTTGATATATTGAGAACAATTTTATAAAAAATGTATAGAAAGTGCTTTAATCACTAGATCACCCACAAAAAAATTAATATCCAGATTCTTACAACATTTCACCTTTCTTGGCAGATCTTTTATAACAATGTGGGATATTTGATAACAAAAATGAAGGAAACACAGACAAAAAGAAACTAAATGAAATCAGCTAAATTATGCACCCAAAACATATTTAATAAAGAAAAACTTTGAATTTAAAATTCTCATCATCCCCTTTCCTTAGTACACATGTGTAGTTATATCAACATAAACATTGCTTTAGTTTGATATAGTCCCAAAAGGTAAAACATGTTGAACAAAGACTTTACACTTTGTCAGTTTTTTTCTCTAAAAAACATGTGTGTATGTGTACCTCTTTTATACAGGTTTTACTGAAGACAACTGACAAGGCACTGTGATTAAGCTTTTTTATTATATTTTTGTACAAGCATACAAAAGATTTCTTTTTGGGACACAATGTGTGTAAGAAATGTTCAAATGAGTTATGGATCTGAGTACTTTCAGATAATCCATTAGCCATTATAAATCACCCCTATTGCTTACAAATGTCCTTGGTGCAGATCTTTCACTACTAAGGAAAATGCTATATTGAAACATAATGCTTCAAATCCATTCAGTGCCAAGCTTGGCTTATTTATGGAAAAGCTTTCTTCAATGTGAACCAACTACCTCTGCAGCTCAGAGTTCTTGCTCACCTGACAATTAGTTCAGGATGCAGTGCCATTCAACTGCACTGAGATTACTAAGTAGGTTTGTATGATTTGTTAGATCAATAACTGCTGTGACTGTTTGGAAAAAACCCTGATGCCTGTTTGGGAATTTTTTTTTTACAATGTATAAATTGCCTGATTAGTCCATAGAGTTCACTTTGTGTGCATATGCACAACAATGTTAACTGGTTGTGAAGTGAATGTCAAAAAGAAAAAAAGCTAGTTGTGATGATTGACCGATTGGTTTTCTATGATTTATCAACCCTTTGCAGGTTATTTAAGCCAGAAATTTTTACATTGTAAATTTTTTTTTTTGAGATAATAATGGTTTAGTGCAGTGGTTCCTAAACTTTTTTGACTGTAACCCTAAATAAAATTTTTGCCTGGTCCAGTGACCCTGAATAAGTCTATGTTAGATGACAAATTTTTTTGGCTGTTTTTTAACACCACCCACCCCCACGAATTAAAATTTAACATAATACCAAAACTATGAATGAAACTCAGTATAATTTTTGATATATTATCAAGAGGAAAGATTGGAAAAACAATCTTGAAAATTATTTGTTTTATAGATTTTTTAAAAAAAAGCAAATTTTTAATTTGAAATCTTAAACTTTCAGCAGAAATAATTATTTCATTATGGTTGATTCACCAGTATTTTTTGAAAATCTACCAAAAATTAAATAATAACCTAATTTTAGTAATTTTTTCAGGACTTATGTTTGATATCTTACAATCAAACATGTATATCAGAAATTTTTTTCTAATTTAGAATTTAATTACCTAACCAGAATTAAGGTAATAAAAGTATGTCAAGCCTAGCTGCATACAAACTATTTTGCGTTAGTCTAAATTTTACTTTGTAGGGTTAACTTCAGACTCTTAGTATAATAAAATATATCATAAATTACACATTTTTATGAGACCATCTGCAACCCTCAGAAAAACCCTCACAGGGTCAAAACCATGGGTTTGGGAACTCCTGGTTTAGTGGTACAAATCTTACTAATTAACCTATAGCTGGGGGGAGAAGTAGTAGATTCATATCTTTCCCAAGGGTATTTGTGCATAAGTAAATATGATGAACGTAACTGGAACTTTGCTCTCTGATTAACAATTTTGAGCCACTATTCATTACACCACCTACACATCCAAGCTTACAACACCTGGTATTCCCAAATGGTCACCCATCTAGGCACTGACCAGGCTCTATGTTGCTTAACTTTAATGATCATATGGTAACCAGTGTTTCAACATGATGTGGTCATAAGCCTTAGTTGTGAAGAGACTGGTGGTATGGAACATATGTATGAAGGGAATCTTCATGAATGGTTATTTTCTCATGATTTCTTATTTTAAACACCAGCTTAACTCCTTGCAAGATCAACATTTTTTTTTTTTTTTTTTTTTTACACTATATTACATTTCAGAAAATATTCATTTGTTTTATAAATTAAGAGAATATAATATAAGAAACATTAAAATATATTTTTGTCAGGTCTTTTTTAGTTGCTATAAACATATATAGTTTATAAAAAAATCTCCAAATACACAGAGATTCTTCTATGTGCTGTATCACTTCAGAATGTGGCAGGAGATCATGGCACTCCACAACTTCCTATCTTAGCTCTTAATAAGATTTGTCATTTTAGTATCTCTCACAATCCCTGTTTTGTCATTCATTACTCATTAGGTTGGTTACTAACTACTTTCAATATGTTCTGTGAGTGTCAGACTCTCAAGGTCCTCTTTCCTCATTACATGTCCTTGAGATTTTAACTGTTTCCAAATATAAGTGTGCTTTTTGTTTACATCTTAAATACAAAGGACAAGCATTCATAATTTATTTCATTCCTCAATTTAGAATTTTGTTGCATGTTAAAATCTTCACTAACAAATAGGGAAGAATTTTTCCACTTTATTACAGCCATAAAAATACACATTTAACTCAGAAATAGCTAAGATTGTAACCCTGGTTGATGCCACTGATTTCACAAAATTGTTCTAAATAAATGCATTCAATTTCATTCATTAGTCCTTGAGATATATTCTGAATGTAGACTTTCAGTAGAATTAATGACCATTTTCTAGTTTTCATTAATCAACAAAATGGTTTGTGCACTTTGATCTTAGCCTAAAGGCAAAAAAGTAATTGTAGAAGGACTGTAGACCTGAAGGAGGCTGTAGGTATAAAATGAATGAGTTCAATCATTTAAACAAATTACAATATTCACATAAATTTATACAAATTTTAAACTAACCAGAATATTACCCTAAACAAATTACAGGATGAATTACAAGTCCCTACATTTAGATTTTACTAGATGTACAAAAATATCTAAGAAAGTAAAGTGAAACAACTGACAAAAGAGTAGGAATTAAATATCTTCTAAATAATATTCTTTATTTTTAAAAACTAAGCAAAGATATTAAAACCTTGTAGCAAGCATTTATTTTTTGTTATTATTTCTCATATCACTTTCTAAGTAATTTCTTTTTTTTTTTTAATATACTTTTAACATTTACAGACTTTTTAAAAATCAGTACACTTTTCATGGAATTCCATATGAGAAAAAAAACTTCAGAATATCCTTAAAGGTATAAAATAACTCATTGCTTAGTTGCTTGATATGAGTGTGTATATGAGGAGAAAAATTCTTGGTTCAGTCAAGGCGGCCTTCAAAAATAAAATAAAAATATATAATAATCTGATTTTGGTCATATTTTGGGGAGTGAATCATGTGGAGAACTTTTCAGCACTGGTCATTTGACAATAATTTTTTTGAATTTTGATCTGAAATTCTTACTGTCCAAAAATATATTAATATCCACCATTGAATTAAGTGGAATGACCAAGAAGGAGATTAAATGGAAAAAAAATTATTATTTGTGTATAATAAATACTTTTTATCATTAGAATGTAGACATTGATACACTTACTTCCTACCTCCCTTCCTACCTAAATTATATAGATTATATGATACTATTGCTATGTTTATTTCAAAATAAGAATTTGCTTACTTAAAAAATTACAAAAATTCAGTACTAAATAAAGAGGAATTTATTTCTGTAATTCTGAAAAGAGACATGTATATAATTATTATAAAAATCTTTTCAGTAAATTTTAGTGAAGTATTTAGTTAATAAGATTTAGAATCTATCAAAAGCTGTTTTATTAGCTTTGCACAAAGTAATAATATACTAAAAACTAAATGATCCTCTTGCTAACACAATTTAAACATACAACTATGATGACACATCAGCATATTGGTCATTCAAGCCCACTAACAACCTTGGTATCAGCAACCACTAACCCAGAAACATTAGCATAAAAGTACTTGCTTTGTTTTCCTGTCGATTAACTGTATAACATATCATATAATAGGATATTAGTCTTAGCTACAAGGAGGTGCTGAAAAATTTTTGTTCACCACTGCAGTAGCCATTTATTGAACTCACAACTCTTTTTCCAACCAACACTTTTATCCACTGGGCCATGTGTCCTTGAGGACATCAGTGTATGAATTTTTGTGACTTATAAACCTAATGTCTCAGTAATTATTATTTTTACCAGAGCTCATATTGCAATTTTGTTGTTATTATTGCTTTTCTCTAGCACTCCATATTACTGATTCCCATATTGTATTCATTTCTATGCTTGGCTGGCTTAGGAGATTCTTGTGGCCAAGTATATGTGCTGATTCCTTAAGTTTTCATATTTTCCAGTGATGTTCTCTGTCTATTATTTCAACCTCCTCCCACAGGGGGTAGTGATCTCCCTTTTCCCTCCATATGTGTTCAGCTATGTCTGATTTTTCTATTTACCCTCATGTTATGGCTTTACAATGTTCTTGCAGTCTTACCTTAAGGGGCTAGCCTGTTTCTCCTTTATATTTCTTACCACAGCTGCACAGGATGGTGTACACATGGTCCCTAGTCATGTTCTCCTCTATGGGTGGGGCTTACTAATAAGAGGTGCCTGTGAAGTGTCAAATCACTTTTGAAGGTTGTCCAGATGTTATATAGACCACAGATCTTTTTTCTGATAATCCTTTTACATAACCAAAGCTGTTTTCTAACTGTTGTTATCCTATTGTACCCTTCTATCCCAGTTTGTCAGAGTTGCTGCCATGAACCCAGGGTAGTTGTTATGTTGTAGGGTACTGCTTATACTGACCATTTCTTGTCCATGTCTCTGGGTCACAACTTATGACTTTTGCTCAATGTTGTAAGCAATGGACGGTCCCTTTCTTTACACTGTATGGGTGGTGGGAGCTAAAGTTGAGGTATTGTCTGATAAATGTTGGCTTACAGTATACATGAAACTGTTTCAATAATTTTATTGAGTTCATATGGTCTAGTAGTAGCTGGCTCTCTTCCTAGTGTGGCCAGAGTATGAAGGTGTCATCTATATATCTCAGCCATAGGGTTGGCTTTAGTGATGTGGATTTTAATGTTATTTCTTTGAAGTATTCCATGTATATATTTGCCATTGATAGTGATAATAGCAAGCCCATTGCTAAGCCTTCATCCTGTCAATATGTCTGATCCCATTCCGAAATGTGTTGTTTGTGTACAGAAAGTCAGTATCTCCATCAGGTTATCTATTGGTATACTGGTCTGTTCTCCTAAGGATGAGTCTGAGGCCAGTCTGTACCTAACTACCGATATTGCCTCCTCCATGGGTACCTTGTTGAACAAACTCACTATCTGGTTGGATTTTAAATAAAGCATTCAGTTCAAAATTCCAATCACCTGAAGAAGGCTGGAGCATACAACAGCTGAAATGTCATGAATATGACAATAAAGATGAGGACAGAAGTTCAAACAATGAAAATAATTACAATAATTCATCTCAGAAATATAGAAAGATATAGAAATCCATGTTTACAAATCCTTTTTATACCAACTGAAAATGTCATGTATTCAAAAAGGTCAAACATTCTTATGATGATATAAAACTTCAAATTCAATCTTACAATACAAGATGAAAATATAATCAATTGTATTAAACAGCATATAAAATTAAATATTGGTTATAATGATAGGATTGTCAAGCTTTGGCAATTTAAAAAAATATCTTTAAAAGATCTAATTTCAAATAACAAATGTGCAAATATTGTTGCCTTTTTTAAATAATGTTTGATTGTTTAATGACATATCAACTCTTTATGAACCATTTAATGCCAAAATTTATTTTTCTTGGGAGCCTTGAAGTAATAAAAATATGATATAAGTTATTCTGTGTGGATATGATTATTAGAGGTGGTGATGTGTGTTTTATGTTGAACTTATATTTTGGAATACAGTTTGATTTAAGAAATTGTAGGATGTTATATGAATTAATGTCATGAAAGAGTTTTTTTATGTTGGTTATTTGGTTGGTTGGTCAATTTTGTTTAGCAGCATATCAGCCTCTATCTAAATATTTTGAATACAATTTTATGGCTTCAACTAAATATATTTTGAACACAATTGTATGCCTTCAACTATGGGTAAAATATATTCTTGGTCATTTTGCTATAAAATGTATTGGTAATTTCACTATAAAAATGTATTTTTATACTTTCATAGTGTTTTGTTTTTGTTTGGGGGTTCATTATTTTCCCATAGCTGAGACCCTAACAGATGCTACCATCTCAGGTCAGGGTGAACCTGGGAACAACAGCAATTAATTTGCTCCTCAAAACCTCCAGTCTCATGATCAGAGGCCTTGCTGCTGGATGTAGTTTATCATCATTCCCAGAACTAAAAATAACAGTTTTGCAAACTGAAGTTGCTCTGGGACAAAAATATTTATGTTTTAAAAAGATGTGTTAGTTACTTTGCTAGAATATATTTGAGCTTTAAAAGACAAATATTGAAAATGATTATTTAGCAAGAATAGCAATTCTTAGAAGCCCTAGTGAGCACCCCCACACACACACACCAGAAGCCTAATCAGTCTTAGTGCTTGTTTTTATACTCACTATATTCTCAGAATATTTGATAAAACATTAGCAAGATTTTTAGGGGCATACTGTTCATTTTACAGATACACATGTTTCCAGAACATGTTTTTTTTTTTTACTTTATAATGTTAGAGGGAAGAGAGAAAAGGTAAATATCTATGTAAGTATAAAAAAATATTAACTATAGCCTGATCTCTAATTACTCCCAATAGATCTTATTCTGTACATTTCAAATCATTTCATTAACCATAAGTTCTATGCTAACAGTTTCTTCTCTTGCTCAGTAACCCCTTGTGTCTTAGTGGCTTTATTGTCTGT